GCATCAGAGCTGAGCTGCCACTGAGCTGCCAATGGCAGGATGGCTTAGCTGGTGGGAGCACATGCTCCTAACAACAAGGTTGTCAGTTTGACTCCCGCATGGGATGGTGGGTTACACCTACCCGCAACTAAGATTGAACAGTCACCTTGAGCTGAGCTGCCCTGAGCTGCCAACGGGAGGCCAAATGGCTCAGTGGTTAGAGTGTGTGCTCTTAGCAACAAGGTTTCCGGTTCGACTCCCACATGGGATGGTGGACTACACCCACACACAACTAAGATTGAACACAGCACCTTGAGCTGAGCAGCCACGAGCTGCCGATGGGCGGCCAAATGGACTGGACTTGGAGCTGAGCTAGCTGTGCCCTCCATAACTAAGATTGAAGGACAACAATTTGGCTGTTCTCCTTCCCCAATTCCCCAATAAAATCTTAAAAAAAATAAAAATGTGTATACATTTTTTAGCACCCTCTGTATACATTCCATGTTTATCGCAGCATTATTCACAATAGCCAAGATGCCCATCAACAGATGAATAAAGATTATATATGTATAAATATATACATGTATACATATATACATATACACACAATGGAATATTATTCAGCCATGAGAAAGGGGGATATCCTGCCATTTGTGACAACACAGATGGACCTTGAGCACATTATGATATGCAAAATAAGTCAGACAGAAAAGGACTAGTACTGTCACTTATACGTGAAATCTAAAAAAGTCAAACTTGTAAAAAGCAGGGAGTAAAATGGTGGTTACCAGGGGATAGGGGGGTGGGGAAATTACACTGATGATTTTTAAAGGTACAAACTTGTATTAATCATAAATAAGCTATAGAGATCTAATGCATAGTATAACAAATACAGACAATACTGTACAGTAAGTCCTCACTTAACGTCATAGATTCTGCAACTTTAAGTGACACTGTGTAATAAAATTAATTTTACCACAGTCTAATTGATATAAACCAGAGTTAATTCCTAGGCATCTCATCAATGTTATAACCAAACTACATTGAATGAAATGACATCATTCAAGGACCTTCTGTACATAATTATGTGATGTGAAAAATATCCCTACGACTTGGCAATCATGTTACAATATATAAATGTATGAAAATAATACCCTGTACACCTTAAATTTACACAATGTTACCTGTCAAATTATTTTATTACAAAAAAAAGATAAAACAACATGGTATGTCTCCATGCCCTATTTTAAGCCTTTAAAAGCATTAAATTGGTTATACTAATAGCCCGCTCTGGAAAGAAAAAGAACCCCTGGCATATTTGAGGTGCTCTTTTGGAGGCCACACCTGATAAAGACTTTAAGCAAACAATCAGTAGGGAGGGTCTAGGGGAGGAGCTAGGGCTTACTGACTCTTAAGTAATTGCTAGAACCCTACAGGAAGAGCTCTTGTTTATCATAAAGCTCTATGGTTCTAACTTCCTCTTCCATTAACTTCCTTTTCCCTTGCTTAAATACCCCGCTATCTTGGCAGGCACACGCTGTGTGCACATGGCTTGCCATTTCTGTGTGCACTGGATTGCACCCCTTTTTTTTTCCCCAAATAAATCCTTTTTGGTGACGCGACACCTAGTCAATATCATTTTTCAGTGAACACACTCAAAGCACCTAAAATCAAAATAACCTTGTCCTCCAGGCAAGGCAAAGGCCGTGGGAGACCCAAGGCAGGAGCTGTACCCTGCACGGCCTGCCCCTGCGCCTGGGCCACCCCCACCCCCACCCCACGCCCGCTGGAGGCAAGAGACACCACGACAGCCGGGCGACCTCCTTTCCCATCGTCCGCTCAGTTGGCGACTCCAGTTGTCTCTGCCGGCAGGCCCGGCCAGTACTCACCGGTTGGGGACGCTGTGCTTCCTCCCCAGGACACGAGCCAGCAGTGCGCAAGTCCTGCGCGACCCAGGGATCCCCTCTCAGACCCCTCCTAGAATAGACGCCAGGGCAGCTGCGGCCACAGGGTGCATGCTATATGGCGGGTGACAGATGGGGTGCACAGAAGATTCCAGAAGACGCATACTGCTTGCACACTCAGGACCAACATACCGCTCACGCTCCCGAACTGTCTGGCCACTAGGTCCAGAGTGAGTGCGACGTGGGCGACATGCGTGGATTGCGCTGTACGTGTGGGATAACGTGCGCGGGGGCGCGCGGGGGTGGCACCCATGGGGAGCCTGCGCTGGAGTGCGCGGACTGGAGACTGAAAAATATCAACTAGGTATTTCACACCAAAAAGGATTCATGAGGACGAGGGGCGGAGGTTACAACCGAGCATCTGCAGACCTGGCAAGCCACATTGCATATTCTGGCCAGCTACCAAGATCGAGGGGTATTTAAGGAAGGGAAAACGGAAGTTAGAACCATACAACTTTATTGTTAAGGAAGATAGAACCATAGATTTTTTTTTCCTGCAGGGTTCTCACACGAACTTCCATGAGCCCTAGCCCCTCCCATAGATCCTCCCACCTATTAGCCTTTATCAGGACGCAGCGCAGATTCCAGAAGGTGCACTCTGCGCATGCTCCACACCGCGGTACTGCTCTAGCTCCCAGAAAGTCTGGCTGTCGTGTCCCCTGAGCGAGCGACTGGTGTGGTGAGCGTGGGGTGAAGCGTGAATGGGGACGACGTGCGTAAGGGTGGTGCGCATGGGGGTTGGCTGCGGGGGGACGGCGTGCGTGGGGTGCGTCCGCTGGGGTGCGCCGAAGGAACGCACAGAAGCTTCCACAAGGCGTGCGCTGCATGCACTCTTCGGACCGGCGTATTGCGCATGCTCCCAGACCCCGGGCCGTGGGGTCCAGAGCGATCGCGAGGGAGTCGGCGCGCGATGGGAGTGCCCGTGTGGGTAGTGCGCGTGGCGTGCGCGCGCGCCGAATGGGGCAGACAGCTTAGCAACCTCTGCTGGTCCGTGGGAGGTGGTGCGTCCTGCCTGCCTTTGCTGACCAGACATGGCGAAACTGCGCTGTCCACCCCAGTTAATCGCCTACCACCCGTTAAAAACCCTTGACCCTCCGTTGTCAGACACTGCAGTATCTTTTGTGGTTGGAACCTTGCTTGGGGAGGGGAGGGATGGGGGAGAAAGGGGAGAAGCCCCACCCATCTCCCAACCAGGGCCAGACCCACACAGGCTGCTGGGACTTTTAGTCTCCAGGGCCTGCCTACTTGTTGGTCATCCCCTTTGGCACTTAATAGGGTTGAAAGTACTTGAGAGCAATGCTTGATTTGCATCAAACCTGGGTCCATGTTACTTATTGAGTGCCTACTGTGTGCGGAACACCTTGCTAGGATTGGTGGAGAGTAGATGAGCTCATGCCCTGGTCCTTACTTTAGCTTAAGCAGAAAGACAGACTTGCAAAGTAGCATGCAATGAACTGAAATCACGAATTATGAGTGCTATCAGAGGTCATGGAATGGCCAGAGTCAGAAAAACTTCCTGGAAGATGTGGGGTTTGGGGTTTGAATCAGGATTTGAAATGTGGAATGCTCCTAGATCAGGGGTCAGCAAACTGCAGCTCACAGCCACATGCGGCTCTTTGGGTACGTTCCATCTCAAAAGTTTGCCGACCCCTGGAAGAGCCAATCCTGTCCCTCACAACAATTTAAAAATTATTCAAGGGCCGGCTGAGTGGCACATTGGTTAAGAGCTGGCTTGGGACGCCAGCTCTGAGCAGCAGGGCCCTGGTTCGGATCCCACATGAGGGCCAGTGACGCTGTGCCCTCTACAGCTAGGATGGTGAACAGTTCCACCTGGAGCTGGGCTACTGTGAGTCACCGGCGACGGTGTAGGCTGCAGTGGGCTGCAGTGGGCTGCCATAAACTACCGTGAGTGGCCGGCAGCCGGCGTGAGCTGCCAAGAGCCACCGTGAGCAGCCGTCCAGTGGCCGGCGACTGATCTGCCTCACCTGGGAAGAGCCCAATGATAATACCAACATGGGCCAGTGAAGCAACGTCCTCCACAACTAGATTGAAGAACAAAAGGACAGCAACTTGTCTGTTCCCCTTCCCCCAATTCCCCAGGGCTGTTCCCATCCCCCAATTCCCCAATAAAATCTCGAAAGAAAAAAATTATTCGAGAGCCATAAATATATTTTTACATAATCACCATTATGTGAATAATACCCTTTAAAATTTTTATAAATGAAACTATGACAGTTTTATTTTCATTTTCAATTTTACTTCAGAGCTACATGTACGCACTCAAAGAGCCGCATGTGGCTTGCGAGCCGCAGTTTGCTGACCCCTGGCAGCTCTTCCGTCTCAAAAGTTTGCCGACCCCTGCTCTAGATTGAAGGGGAAGTTGCAAAAATCAAAGGATGGAAGTGGCGGGCAGTAAAAAGAAGAGTTTGATCTGGCAATAGTCACAGGTTTATGTTGAAGTGTGGTGAGCAGGACTTAGGTGGGAAGTGGACACGGGGGTCTTTTGGCCCCACTTTCAGAAGTGAACAAGAGCCAAATCACCCGATGTACATAGAGCTTGACAGAAATAAACTGATCTGAGCAATATGGAGAACATGTGAGCAATCACACACACTGTTATTACTAGTTAGGACTGATCCTTTGTGATTTCAAATCTTAATAAAAATCAGAACTCTCTTTCCACTGGTGATTTGTTGGTAACATAATCCCTGTGAAATTGCACTTAAAGTCAGTTGCAACACAGGTTGAGGTTGAATCAGAAAGCAATGTATCTCTATGAGCCTCTAACAAAGTCTTTTACAGGCATGGAGTGGCCCAGAGTTGGAGTTTTTCTCCACTTACTCTGTCCTCTCTTCCAATTTTAATCCCTCCAATAATTTCAGTCCAATATGGGGGACTTGATCCATTTTGCCTCTCCGAGAATGTATGAGAATCTCCTCCTGGTTTCTACCTCAGCTGTTCATTGCCTCTGCTGGGGTATTGTGTGTCTGAGGAGCTGGCATCTACTTTGAGATGTAATGTAAGATTTTTCAACCCTTGAACATTGTTTCCTTCCTACCCCTCACACCTGCAGGGATGGGACCTAATAATTCTCAAAATTTGATGTACAGTTATTATAATGTAATAGCACCTGCTCATTATTTCAGTGACCTCACGGCTAAAGGAGACAAGAACCACAGATTAGATTAGTTCTTTGAAGGAGGCCTAATTCTTGCCTGGGGCACAGCCTGATATGGGCAGATGAAGTCACATAATGAACACTATTGATTTTTGCATGGCCAGCTACTAATATCCCATATATTCTGGTAAGACTATCTTGAGTGGGACATTGGCCAACTATTTCTCAGCCACTCTTTGTGGCAAAATGGGACTGATCCAGCTTCCTAGCTCCTGGTGGCACATGTTCCCCAGAAATGCCATTCAGCGTAACCCGTCATCCTGGCTACGTCTGTCAATTTAGGAATGGGCTGTGAACCAAGATCAAGCAATGTGAGTCTGTCTCAGGATTTTTGTTTAAAGTGTCAGTGTAAGCACACTATTTCAGCCTAAAGATGCTGATGGGTATCTTTCTAGCATATAAAGAGAACCAGCCTGAGAACAAAGTCTATACAATAGAAAGTGGCACCTTGACCCAGAGAAAGACAGATTCCCAATGCCATAACTGGGTCCACCCATGCTTGAACCCATTACATCCCTAGTGTTTTCAGTTATGTGAGGCAACCACTAGTCAACAGAAGGCTTAACTGACTTATGTAAACAATAATAGAAATGGAGCCACTTTAAAATGGAGTCAGAGCTGCCATTCAGAGGAGGTGCCTTGCACGTCTTAGACCTTAAACCTTTGGAATGTTAAAACGGGGCAAAAGAACCTTTGGACTGGGCCTAAGCAACCTTGTGTCCCAAAGAACTATTTGCAAAGATAACAAGGAAACAGTTATTATGAACTAATGACTACTGCACTGAAAACTAAAAATATTGTTTAGAATTAGCATCACTGTGTTAGCTTATCTGCACCTATAGCAATACCTTCCTTCTATTTTTTTTTTCTTAAGATTTTATTGGGGAATTGGGGAAGGGGAACAAACAAGTTGCTGTCCTTTTGTTCTTCAGTCTAGTTGTGGAGGATGTCGCTTCACTGGCCCATGTTGGTATGATCATTGCACTCTTCCCCGGTGAGGCAGATCGGTTGCCGGCCACTGGACGGCCGCTCACGGTGGCTCTTGGAAGCTCACGCCAGCTGCCAGACACTCATACTGGCTGCTGGCCACTCACAGTAGCTTATGGCAGCCCACTGCAGCTCCATTGCAGCCTACGCCATCCCAGCAACTCACGGCATCCCAGCTCCAGGTGGAGCTGTTGTTCACCATCTTAGCTCTAGAGGGCGCAGTGTCACTGGTCCTAATGTGGGGTCTGAACTGGGGCCCTGCTGCTCAGAACTGGCATCCCAAGCCAACTCTTAACCAACGCGCCACTCAGCCGGCCCAATGCCTTCCTTCTATTGATGTAATTGTTTCCCTTCCCTTTCTCATTAATACCCACTGCCTTTGTTCCCTAATCAGAACAATATTTGATCTTCTGTCTGAATCAGTGCATCCCAAATAGATCAATAGCTATTCTTGTTGATCTTAAATAAATGCTTATTGCCTCTCACTTTGAAAGGCTCTTTTATTTTGAGGTCAACAATTAGAAAGCAGCAAGTAGCATGAAAAATGAATGAATATTGTACTCTAGAGAGGAACTACTTCCTTAATTCACCAATGTTTTCTCCTTACTTCCTTAGAAAATGGGATTATGCTCTTCCCATTTGGAGATAACTGCATGGAAGCTTTCTAATGTCCCTTGATTATTTTCTTTTCTGTAAGAGAAAGCACATTAGAAATCTGTCTGTCATGTGACCCATTTGTCACAATTTACGAGGGGACAAGTTTACTCATTCTCAAGGCAGACACATTCATTTCTGTTTTCTTGTTGACCTACCTGCTCTCAGGGGCAGTGAGTATCCAGCTTTAACAGAGATCCCTGCATTTGATTTGTTACTATGTCTTGACCAGCCATTGTATTGCACCAATACCAATTTTCTGCTTTTGATAATATACAATAGTTATATTACCACTGGGAAAGCTGGCTGATGGGTACGTGTGGAACTCCATACTCCTTTTTGTGACTCTAAAACTATTTCCAAAAAAACATTTTTTTAAGAAAATGTCTTGGGCAGGACTTCAGATGAGATGAAATGGGTCTTGGAGTGGGTGGGGCTATAGCCTCACACACCCGATTTATGGGGAAGATGTTGTCATTGATGGCTTTTGGTTTCCTGAGTCAGTTGCAAGAAGGAAACTGTACCCCAGATGGTGTGGAGAACCAAAGTATCAGGGCCAAACGTCTCCCCACACATCCTGGGACAAAGTGGGCAGTTGGAGAGCTGAGATCACCCCAGTTTCCCTTCTTCCTTCGAACTGTAAAACTGAAGACAGAACCTTGGTCCGGGTGGAAGGGACGCTATGATCACAGGATTCCTGTCTCTGCTTTGTCTCGGTGAGTCTCCAGGACTGGGAGGGATGGGTTTGGATGGGTGAGAAAATTCACAGTGGAGTGGGGGTTAATTTGGGAAACATGGCAAGAACAGGAGTGACGACTTGTGAGTATTGGACACATACCACCTGTCAGTTTTGTAGGCTGTGATATCCTCATGACTTCATTCTGATCCTCGCACAAAAGAGAGAAGGAATCCTAGGTGCAGAGATGTGTAGTAATACCCTCTGTTTACTCAGACAACAAATGCAGTGCTCGGATGGGATCTCCAACTTTGCATCTTCTAAACAGCACAGTCATGCCCTGACTGTCCCATTGGCATATAGGAGGGCGGGGTCTACAGGGTATGAAACACTGTGCGTTGGGTACAAACCAGAAATACAGAGTAGAACCATGCCTGGGGATGACATATTAGAAGAAAAATTTCTGACCACCCCTATCCTCAGGCTGATTTTAACCATGCTCAACTTGGACATAGTGTAATCAAACAGGCTGTTAAAAGGATGACCTGGATTATAACCTTGGCTTGGTCTCATAGGATCTCTTACTTTGAACCAGCAGCTCCACCTCACGAAGCCCCAGGTCCTCCTTCGTGAGTGGGGCTTGTAGAGGGGATAGCCGGACTTATCCCCTGCCCCAGTTCATTCCTCCTCCTTCTGAGTACAGCCCTCCCCAAAGTTCACATTTGAACGTTAGAGGTGACAGTTGTCACCATACCCCAGACCTCCAGCTGCAGGGCAGAATATGCTGGGCAGGCAGAGACTGGCCGTCCTCCCCCTATTTCCTGTACCATAAACTCTCTCCATTTGAATGAGGGAGGAAACCCCCATACTGCACAGTAAAATAACAATTGCATGAAGTGGTAAGGATAAACATTGCAGTCCCAGAAAATATGAGGGAAAAATATAGGTAAATGTTCGACAATTTCTAGAAGGCAGATGCACTAATCATGAAAGCTTTGTTACAGTTCCCAATGCAATAAATCAGAAAAGGTTGCTGGAAGGTTCTACATAAGCATAACTGCTGAAGGATAAACAATGGAACAAAAGTAAAAGGTAAAAGATAAGCCCAGGGGAGCACCTGCAAGGAATAGAGCAGACCTTGAACAAATTAGTGGTGCGTTCTCTGCCTGATTTGTCCTCAAAGACAAGCACATCATTCACCTCTCATGAGAGTTTCTCTTCCAGGGCTTTGTCTGGGCTATGAACATGAGCAAAAGAATGGTGAGTTGTCTCCCACGTAAACGCTGCATTTGAAGTTTCATGACTTTTCCCCTTTAATATTCAGAATTCTAGGACTGTGTTTGTGGTCATCAAGATGAAGAATCAAACTAACTCTGAATTCTTTCCAGAGAAACTTCCCAAACCCTCCCTCAGCGCCTTGCCCAGATCAGTGGTTGAACACAATAGTAATGTGACCCTGAAGTGCCAGTGTCACTTCCAGAATGTGACGTTCATGCTGGGGAAGTTGCAGGACTCTGGGTACAAGAAGGTACAGAGTTCAGCAGGACACGATGCTGAATTCCTCCTCATGGATCTGAAGCCTAAGAATGCTGGGACATACTTTTGTGCTTATAAGATAACAGGTTCCCACGAGTGGTCAGAGAAGAGCGAACATCTGCAGCTGGTGGTCACAGGTGAGAAGGGCAGCCTCGGGCCTGCTCCTTGGTACACCTTTTCCTGTGATGGGATCTGGTAGGGGAGGAAGGAATACAAGGAAAAAAAAATACAGATGCAATACATTGAGTGTAGGGAAATGGGAACTGAGTGTTGGGGCAAGCTCTCATCAGGGATTCTGAGTGGGTTTCAGTGATGTGGATGTTGGGCAGTGTTTTAGAATAGAAGTATTAGTAGGAAAGCTGAGGTACAGTAAGGCCAAGGGATTAAGAAAAACTTGTCATGGAAGAGATAGTTTGGTACCATTTAGGGGCTTGCTGTGCCATGCAGGGTCATATGAGGAAGCACCAGCGCCAGTCAGAAAGCAGACGGAGGGAGCGGACTCTGGTCAACAGCCTTTCTAGAAGTTTTTCTGGGAAGCAACAGGCTTAAGGTTGGGGTATAGAGGCTGTCACTGGTTGTCTGTGACCTGGCCCTGGTGTGATTTAGGCAGGGGAATAGTGGCCTGGAGTGTGAGGGCCCAGTGAAGGAGGTTGTTGGGAGTGTACGCTCTGGGTTGGTTGGTTTGCATATGAAACGTACACTTGAAAGAGAGTTGTTTCCTATCTTTAGGAATTGGATAATCCTGGCAGATGAATCCTTCCAGGTCCCAAGATGTCAAAGCATCAAATGCAGAAAAGATAGGGTTAATACAGAGATAGGTGAGAATGTCCCCAGGCGCAGTGGAAAACAGGAAGCCCCCGTTGGCTTGTCCTTTTCAGGATCACTCCTAAAACCTTCCCTGTCAGTCAGTATAGACCCAGAGATGACTCCAGGTCACAGTATGACACTCCAATGTGTCTGATTCCATGCAAAACAGAACTGAATATATCATTATTGCTCTGCTGAAAACAAATCCCAAAACCACTACAAGTCGAGAAAGTAATAAAAAACCAAACTGATCATCATGATGGCATAAAATATCCCTTGTTTTGTCTCTCCCTTCAACAACAAAAACTCAGCATCTATCCACAAACAAAAGTGCCTCTGTGGGAGTTGTGGTATTCAGCACCATATGCCAAAGGATCTGGGAGGAGTCTTGCCCACCTGTGCATTGGGTAATAGGCAAACAGACCTCAGTACTGGCTGTGGGACCTGCAGGAAACTGTGAACTGATTCCAGTCCCTCTTGGCTGTGGTCTGGGAGCCCCTGGAAAACATGGATTTCAGCAATCACCTATGGATGAGAGAGCCTTTGTGTAAGTCTACAAACCAACACTGAGTCATAAAGAAATAGAAAATCTGAACAGACCAATAATGGGTAAGGAGACTGAATCAGTAATCAAAATTCTCACAACAACAACAAAGTCCAATAATAAAAAATCTGCCCCCCCACCCCCCAGAAAAAGTCCAGGACCAGATGTCTTCACTGGTGAATCCTACCAAACATTTAAAGAAGAAATAACACCAATCCTTCTCAAACTCTTCCAAAAAAATTAAAGCAGAGGGAACGCTCCCATGTTCATTTTACCCTGATAACAAAGACAGATAAGGCCATTACAAGAAAAGAAAACTACAGACCAACATCCCTGATGAATATAGAGGCAAAATTTCTCAGCAAAATGTTAGCAAACTGAATTCACCAGCACATTAAAAGGATCAAATACCACGATCATGTGGGATTTATCCCTGAGGTGCAAGGATGGTTCAACATACATAACTCAATAAATGTAATACACTGCATTAATAGAATGAAGGATAAAAATTATGCAGTCATCTCAATAGATGCAGAAAAAGCACTGGACAAAACACAATATCCTTTTAAGATAAAAACTCTCAACAAAGTGGGGATAGAGGGAACGTACCTCAACAACAGAAAGGCCATTTATGACAAACCCACAGATAATATACTCAATGGTGAAATCTTTTCCTCTAAGATCAGGTGCTCACTCTTACCACTGCTATTCAACATAGTACTGGAAGTCCTAGCTAGAGCAATCAGGCAAGACAAAGAAATGAAAGGCATTTGAATTGGAAAGGAAGAAGTAAAAGTATCTTTATTTGAAGATAATATGATCTTAAATATAGAAAATCCTAAAGACTCAACCAAAAAAAACTTAGAACTCATCAATTCAGTAAAGTTGCAAGATATAAAATCAATATACACTAATCAGTTTTGTCTCTATACAATAACAATAAAATATCTGAAAAAGAAATAAAATAATCCCATCACAATAGCACCAAAAACAATAAAATACTTAGAAATAAATTTAACCAGGGAGGTGAAATATCTGTACACTGAAAACTACAAGACTCTGATGAAAGAAATTGAAGAAGACACAAACAAATGGAAAGATATCCCATGTTAATGGATCAAAGGAATTATATCATTTAAATGTCCATATTACCCAAAGCTATCTATAGATTCAATACAATCTCTATCAAAATTCTAATGGCATTTTTCACAGAAACTAAGAAACAATTCTAAAATTTGTATGGAATAGACAAAAGACCCCAAATAGCAAGAGCAATCCTGAGAAAGAAGAACAAAGCTGGAGGCATCATACTTACTGGTTTCAAACTACAAAGCTATAGTAACTACAAACTACAAAGCTATACCACAGAGCTATAGTAATCAAAAGAGTATGGTACTTTGGGCCAGTGAAGCAACATCCTCCACAACTAGATTGAAGAACAAAACGACAGCAACTAGTCTGTTCCCCTTCCCCCAATTCCCCCAGCACTGTTCCCATCCCCCCAATTCCCCAATAAAAAAAAATCTTTAAAAAAAATAATAAATAAAAAGAGTATGGTACTGGCATAAAAATAGACACATAGAGCAATGGAACAGAATAGAGAGCCCAGAAATAAACCTTCGCACATATGATCAACTAATATTTGACAAGGGAGCCAAGAACACTCATTAGGGAAAGAATAGTCTCTTCAAGAAATGATAATGGGAAAACTGGATATCCACATGCCTAAGAATGAAATTGAACTCCTATCTTAATCACTCACAAAAATTAACTTGAAATGGATTAAAGACTTAAACATAAGACCCCAAACCATAAAGCTCCTAGAAGAAGACATTGGGGAAATTCCCTTGACATTGGTCTTAGCACCAAAAGCACAAGGAACAAAGCAAAAAATAAATAAATAAATAAATAGGACACATCAAACTAAGAAACTCCTGCACAGCGAAAGAAACCATCAACAAAATGAAAAGGCAACCTACCAAATGGGAGAAAATATTTGCAAATTGGCGGTGCTCTTTCCTGGGATAGGGAAGATTGGCAAGGAATAGGATTGGACGTGGGGGAATTAGTGGTGTCATTCATAAATACTTTTGTTTACAAAAATAATATCAAACTCCAGGAGTATTAAGAAGAGTGATCTAGTGTTCTAGCCCTTGTTTGGGGACCTAGTGAGCACCTAGAGAATGGAGAAGACATTCTCTTCTCTGCTACCCAGAGAGTCTATAAGTAGAACATATAATAACTGTGATTACTTTTTTTTGCATCTTATTTTCTAGATGGCCATGATAGACCTGAAGCTTCCTCAGTAAAAACAAGTAAGCTAATTAGAGAAGAGGTGTTTTTCCCAATTCTATCCATTTCATGAAGCAGGGGATCCCCTTTGATTGAAAGGAACAAAGAGAATCTTAATGCCTGTTTTCTCAATGTGATTGGGGAAACTAATGCCCTTTTGGGAAAGATGACCTCTAAACCACTCCCAGGTTCTTAAAATCCTGGTGAGTAAAACAGCACAAGATACATTGTTTGCCATTTTACATCATTAAAAACAACGGTGGTGTTTTGTGAAGTCTGGGGATGAGTTTCTGTGTCTGGTTTGGGGAATGGGACTGCGACCCGTGAAGTTCAGGTACTTTGGGAATATGTATGACTGAGGACTTGTTAACACCTTAAAGTTCTCAAAAATAGGTGAAAATAACATTCTTTTTCTTTGATGTTGCTTTACTGTGAAGAATTGCCTAAGATTCTGTCCTCTGAGATTCTCATAACAATTAGGCCTTTGGCAGCTTTAGACTGAAACAGGAACTCATCCAGACTTCAATGACACCTAGACACTTATTCATCCTTTTTAGCAACTCATCACCTCCCTGCAATCTATTCCAAAGAGCCAAGATTGTTAAAGGTTGTCATTAGAGGCTGTGCTGCAATAATTCGCTTTTTCAAAAAAGATACCCTCCAAAGTGTCTTTGTGAAATAAGTATTAGTTGTTGAAATGTGTTTGTTCAGTATTAGCGGGCTTGGGACATGATTGCTATCCCAGCTCCATGATCATAGGTCACACTAGCAGTGTTTTCTTGGAGAGACCTGAAATCTGATAGTCGAGGAGCATAGACGTATCAGAAATGAGATGGGAAGTCTAGCAGCGTGTGAGAGGGAAGAAGTAGCGAAACTTTCATATTTTTAGCTCTTGTATAATTTACTTTCTTTTTTATTAATATATAATTCACATCCCATAACTGCACCCTTTTAGAGTGTATAATTCAGTGGCATTTAGTATATTCGCAAGGTTGTGCGGACCATCACCACTCTGTAAGTCCCCAGATGAAACCTCTCACCCACTAAGCAGTCACTCCCCCTTACCCTCTCTCCTATCGCACCCTGCCAACTATTAATTTGCTTTCTGACTACATGGTTTTGTCTAGTCTGGATGTTTCCTATAAGTGGATTCACACAATATGTGGTCTTTTGAGACTGGCTTCCTTGACTTAGCATAATGCCTTCAAGGTCCATCTATGTCGTAGCGTGTGTTGGTGCTTCATTTTTTTTTCATGACTGAATAATATTCCATTGTGTGGATAGACCACCTTTTGTTCCTCCATTCACCAGTTGATGGACATTTGGGTTCTTGGTACCTTTGACCATTGCAATTAATGCTGCTACGAACACTGGTGTACAAGCATCTGAGTCCCTACTTTCAATTTGGTGTCTACCTATGGGTAGAATTGCTGGGACATAGAGTAACTCCATGTTTAACTTCTTGAGGAACTGCCAGACTGTTTTCCAATGTGACTGTACCTTCCCACCAGTCATATATGTGGGTTCCAATATCTCCACATTCTTGCCTACACTGGTTAATTACCTTTTACTGTATTATAGCCATCGTAGAGGGTATGTATATCCTTTCTTAAAATGTACTTTATGAGTTCACATTTATACCACCACAATTCTCAACAGAATGACAAATGTTTAAGCACAGATATGCTGTCCCCAGCCTAGCTATGTATGCCTCAAAGCTGCCAGACAGGGAACCTATACTCCAGTTCTGTGCAGACTGATAATGAATTTCATCACCTAACTTTGACACAGGCCAGGCTTTGAAAGGCCAGGCTTTCTTTCTGGTGCCTGTGACTCTCTTTCTGGTGCCTGTGTCAAGCTGTGTCCCATTTCTTAGCTGGTTCCTCCAGACCAGTGTCATAGACCCTTTGTCATTTTTGGGGGCAATTTGTAAATAGCGATGTGAAATTTGACCAGGATATGTGGACATCTCAGGGTGAACCCACTTCAATGGGTTGTGAGGCCATAGGAAGAGGACCATTTTGCAATAATTTACTTCTCATTTCTAGCGAATTGCTATGTGAGAGAAACTGCAAGTTGGACAAGGGGAGAACTGAAAGGTTAAGAAAGGGCTGATGTTCCTGTGCTTTCATCCAGGGGCTCTGCTAATCCAGGAACAGCTGTTTCTGCCATTTTCATACATCCATGGAGATGCACTTATAGAATTCTTGCTTTGGAGGGTCTCTTTAATTCAGTGCTACCCAAAGCAGACTCTTAAGTATTAGTGCAAAAGTGACATTCAAGGGCAGCAGGGAAGAAGGACTTTGAGGCAAAGAGACTAAACAACAATGGGATATTCCAGTCCCTTACCTGGTATCTTTTGCTCAATCCTTCAGGCAAGTGCAGGACACAGGGAAGGTCACCAATATGGGAGGCTGGGGAGCTAGGGCATTCGTGTTCCCACAAATAAGTCATTGGTGACCCTGAGGCACATAAATTCCAGGGCACTTAGGATCCTTCCAGATGCAAATGTTCACATAGGAAAGGGAGAGAAGCTAAGATCTAGAGTGCATAAAAATGGCAAAGGGACCTGGAGGAGCATGGGTGCAGAGGAAATGCCAGCATCCGTTACAGAGGGAGGTGGGCGTGGGTGGGCTATTGGGTGAGAAAACCAATTTTCTCACCTCAGTCTCATTATCCAATGCAATGAGTCAGATTTTAGACTGGGTGCCTTAGAGCCAGTACTTTTCATCATTACCTACCTCTTCAAGTTAGGTATTCTTATCTCCCTTCCTCCCCGCCCCCAGCTTTACTGAGGTATGTATAACTGACAAATAAAATGGTAAGATATGTAAAGTGTGCAGTGTGTTGATCTGATGAACTATACACTGTGAAAGGACACCCCCCCCCTTGAGGTAATGAGCTCATCCCTCAACTTCCCTCACATATTTACTCTTTTTGGGGGGTGGGGCAGGGTAAGAATGCTTAAGAGCTACGCTGTTAGCAAATTTTAAGTATACAATACAGTATTATCAACTATAGTCACCATGCATTGCATCCTCAGACCTTATAACATCTTGTAACTGAAAGTTTGTACCTTTTTACCAACATCTCCCTATTTCCCCCACCCCTCAGCTCCTGATAACCACCATTCCACTCTCTGTTTCTATATTATTATTATTATTATTATTATTAATTAGATTCCACATATAAGTGATACCATGCAGTATGTGTCTGTGTCTGGCTTATTTCGCTTAGCATACTGCCCTCAAGGTCCATCATGTTGCAAATGGCAGGATGTCCTTCTTTCTCACAGCTGAATAACATTTTGGGGGGTGTGTGGGTGTGTGTGTGTGTGTGTGTGTGTGTGTGTGTGTGTGTATTGCATAAAACATGATTCTTGAGCTGGGTGACAGTTTGGACTTCCATTCACCTGTGATTGGACTTGTCATCACCTCTGTAGCATTACAGTTAGTTGTTATCTCACCAGATTATCTGTTCTGTGGAAGAAGTTCAGAATATCATGTATTTTGAATTTTGACACCCAGTGGCCAGCCCACAGCTACCTTCACCTTATGGCAGACTGGCCTAAAAGCTTAGACACACCAGGATCCAAGGCCATCCTGCCCGTGGGACCTTGGGGAAATCAGTTGACTTCCTGGTGCTCACTTTATGGATGAATGAAATGTGGATGGTTAACCTGTCTTGCATACTTACCGTCAAGATGAGAGAGAATGCACATGAGTGGCTCACAATACACAATATTACTGCAATGGATGAAACATTTATTGGGAAGTTCCCACATACGAGGCATCCTCTGTAAGTGCTGACACATTGAATCTCCCCACCATCCAGTGAAGTAGCCACTGTTATTACCCTCACTTTGAATGGGGAAACAGAAACTCAGGGACATTAACAAGCAAACTGCTTAAAGCAATAAGACATTCCTGCACTGAAGCTCCATGTTTTTTTAAAATTTATTTTCCAATCACAGTTCACCTATTATATTAGTTTCAGGTGTACAGCATAGTGATTAGACATTTATATACCTTACAAAGCGGTCCCCCCAATAAGTCTAGTCCGCACCTGACACCATCCATAGTTATCACAATATTACTGACCATATTCCCTGTGCTTTATTTTACATCCCTTGACTTTTTGGTAACTACCAATTTGTATTTCGTGATCCTTTTCACCCTTTTCACCCTGTGGTCCAACCCCCCTCCCATCTGACAACCATCAATTCGTTCTCTGTATCTGTGAGGTTTTTTCTGTTTTGTTTGTTCATTTATTTTGTTTTTTAGATTCTACGTATAAGTGAAGTCATATACCATGTTTCCCTGAAAATAAGACTGGGTCTTATATTAATTTTTGCTCCAAAAGACGCATTTTATTCATTTATTCATGTACAAAAATCTACATTTATTCAAATACAGTCATGTCTGGCTGATGATCTTAACCGGGGCTTATTTGGGGGTAGGGCTTATTTTACGAGTGTTGCGGGGAACCCAGACAGACAGACAGGACACCAAGGCGTGGGAAGCAACTTTTATTAATGCCGGCACTGGCTCAGCAGATTCACATCCAGAGGCTAGGCCCCGACCGGGCGGGACTCGGGGCTATATACCCTGAAGTTTCCAGGTTGGCAGCTGAGATTTATTAGAACATGTGGCCATTGTGCCAGTTCCTGACTGGCTCCTGGGT